CTGTTTTTGTGTCACTTTGCTGAGAATGATGATCTCCAGTTTCATCCACGTTCCTGAAAAGGACATGAACTCATCCTTTTTTATGGCTGCATTGTATTCCATAGTGTGTATGTGCCACATTTTTTTTACCCAATCTATCATTGATAGGCATTTGAGTTGGTTCCAATTCTTTGCTATTGTGAACAGTGCCAGAATAAACATATGTGTGCATGTGTCTTTATAATAGTGATTTAAATCTTTTGGGTATATACACAGTAATGGGATTGCTGGGTCAAATGGTATTTCTATTTCTAGATGCTTAAGGAATTGTCACACTGTCTCCCACAATGGTGGAGTTAATTTACACTCTCACCAACAGTGTAAAAGCATTCCTATTTCTCCACATCCTCTCCAGCATCTGTTGTCTCCTGATTTTTTAATGATCGCCATTCTAACTGGCGTGAGATGGTATCTCAATGTGGTGTCTCTAATGACTGGTATGATGAGGTTTTTTTCATATGTTCGTTGGCTGCATATAAGTCTTCTTTTGAAAAGTGTCTGTTCATAACCTTTGCCCACTTTTTGATGGGGTTGTTTGGGTTTTTTCTTGTAAATGTTAAGTTCTCTTTAGGTTCTGGATATTAGCCCTTTGTCAGATGGGTAGATTGCAAAATTTTCTTCCCATTCTATTGGTTGCTGGTTCAGTCTATTGATAGTTTCTTTTGCTGTGCAGAAGCTCTTATGTTTAATTAGATCCCATTTGTCTAATTTGGCTTTTGTTGCCATTGCTTTTGGTGTTTTAATCATGAAGTCCTTGTCCATGCCTATGTCCTGAATGGTATTGCCTAGGTTTTTTTCTAGAGTTTTTATGGTGTTAGGCCTCATGTTTAAATCTTTAATCTATCTAGAGTTAATTTTTGTATAAGGTGTAAGGAAGGGATCCAGTTTCAACTTTCTGCATATGGCTAGCCAGTTTTCCTAACACCATTCATTAAATAGGGAAACGTTTCCCCATTGCTTGTTTCTGTCTGGTTTGTCAAAGATCAGATGGTTGTAGTTGTGTAGCATTGTTTCTGACCTCTGTTCTGTTCCATTGGTGTATATCTCTGTTTTGGTACCAGTACCATACTGTTTTAAGTACAGTAGCCTTGTAATATAGTTTGAAGTCAGGTAGCATGATGCCTCCAGTTTTTTGTTTTTTGCTTTTGTTTTTGCTTAGGATTGACTTAGCTATGTGGGCTCTTTTTTGGTTCCATATGAAGTTTAAGGTGGTTTTTTCCAATTCTGTAAAGAAAGTCATTGGTAGCTTGATGGGGATCACAGTGAATCTATACATTACTTTGGGCAGTATGATTCTTCCTAACCATGATCATGGAATGTTTCTCCATCTGTTTGTGTCCTCTCTTATTTCCTTGAGCAGTGGTTTGTAGTTCTTCTTGAAGAGGTCCATCACATCCCTTGTTAGTTGTATTCCTAGGTATTTTATTCTCTGTAGCAATTGTGAATGGGAGTTCACTCATGATTTGGCTCTCTGTTTGTCTATTATTGGTGTGTAGGAATGCTTGCGAATTTTGCACATTTATTTTGTATACTGAGACTGCTGAAGTTGCTTATCAGCTTAAGAAGATTTGGGGCTGAGACAATGGGTTTTCTAAATATACAATCATGTCATCTGCAAACAGGGACAATTTGACGTCCTCTCTTCCTATTTAAATACCCTTTATTTCTTTCTCTTGACTGACGGCCCTAGCCAGAACGTCCAATACTACATTGAATAGGAATGGTGAGAGAGGGCATTCTTGTCTTGTTCCAGTTTTCAAAGGGAATGCTTCCAGTTGTTGCCCATTCAGTATGATATTGGCTGTGGGTTTGTCATAAATAGCTCTTATTATTTTGAGATATGATACATCGATGTCTAGTTTATTGAGAATGTTTAGCATAAAGGGCTGTTGATTTTGTTGAAGGCCTTCTCTGCATCTATTGAGATAAGTATGTGGTTTTTGTCTTTGGTTCTGTTTATGTGATGGGTTAGATTTGCAGGTGTTGAACCAGCCTTGCATCCCTGGGATGAAGCCAACTTGATCATGATGGATAAGCTTTTTGATGTGCTGTTGGACTTGGTTTGCCAGTATTTTATTGAAGATTTTTGCATCGATATTCCTCATGGATATTGGCCTGAAATTTTCTTTTTTTAGTTGTATCACTGCCAGGTATTAATATCATGATGATGGTCTCAAAAAATTAGTTAGGGCGGATTCCCTCTTTTTATATTGTTTGGAATAGTTTCAGAAGGAATGATACCAGCTCCTCTTTGTACCTCTGGTAGAATTCGGCTGTGAACCCATCTGGCATGGACATAGTTTAGTTGGTAGGCTATTAATTGCAACCTCAACTTCAGACCTTGTTATTGGTCTATTCAGGAATTCAACTTCTTCCTAGTTTAGTGTTGGGAGGGTGTAAGTGTCCAGGAATCTAACCATTTCTTTTAGATTTAATGGTTTATGTGCATAGAGGTGTTTGTAGTAACCTATGATGGTAGTTTGTATTTCTGTGGGATAAGTGGTGATATCCCCTTTATCATTTTTTATTGAATCTATTTGAATCTTATCTCTTTTCTTTTTTATTAGTCTGGCTAGCCAACTGTCTATTTTGTTGATCTTTTCAAAAAACCAGCTCCTGGAGTCATTCATTTTTTGAAAGATTGTTTGTGTCTCTCTCCTTCAGTTCTGCTTTGATCTTAGTTGTTTCTTGCCTTCTGCTAGCTTTTGAATTTGTTTGATCTTGCTCCTCTAGTTCTTTTAATCGTGACGTTAGGGTGTTGATTTTATAACTTTCCTCACTTCTCTGGCGGGCATTTAGTGCTATAAATTGCCCTCTAGACACTGCTTTAAATGTGTTCCAGAGATTCTGGAATGTTCTGTCTTCTTTCTCATTGGCTTTGAAGAACATCTTTATTTCTTCCTTCATTTCATTATTTATCCAGTAGTCATTCAGGAGCAGGTTGTTTAGTTTCCATGTAGTTGTGCGGTTTTGAGTGAGTTTCTTAATCCTGAGTTCTAATTTGATTGCACTGTGGTCTGACAGACTGTTTGTTATGATTTCCATTCTTTTGCATTTACTGAGGAGTGTTTTACTTCCAATTATATGGTCCATTTTAGAATAAGTGCGATGATGTGTTGAGAAGAATGTATATTCTGTGGTTTTGGGGTGGAGAGTTCTGTAGATGTCTATCAGGTCCGCTTAGTCCAGATCTGAGTTTAAGTCCTGGATATCCTTGTTAATTTTCCATCTCACCGATCCATCTAGTATTGACAGTGGTGTGTTAAGGTCTCCCACTCTTATTGTGTGGGAGTCTAAGTCTCTTTGTAGATCATCAAAACTTTCTTTATGTATCTGGGTGCTCCTGTATTGGGTGCATATATATTTAGGATAGTTAGCTCTTCTTGTTGCATTAATCCCTTTGCCATTATGTAATGCCTTCTTTGTCTCCTTTGATCTTTGTCAGTTTAAAGTCTGTTTTATCAGAGACTAGGATTGCAACCCCTGGTTTTGTTTTGTTTTTTTTTTTTTTTTTTTTTTTTTTTTTTTTTTTTTTTTTTGCTTTCCAATGCTTGGTAAATCTTCCTCCATCTCTTTATTTTGAGCCTATGTGTGTCTTTGCACAAGAGATGGGTTTTCTGAATACAGCACACTGATGGGTGTGCTATTTATAAATAAGAGCTATTTATAACAAACCCACATTTTATCCAATTTTCCAGTCTGTGTCTTTTGATTGGGGCAGTTATTCCATTTACATTTAAGGTTAATAATGTTGTGTGTGAATTTGATCCTGCCATTTTGATGCTAGCTGGTTGTTTTGCCCAGTAGTTGACGCAGTTTCTTCATAGTATCAATGGTCTTTACAGTTTGGTATGCTTTTGCAATGGCTGGTACTGGTTGTTCCTTTCCACGTTTAGTGCTTCCTTCAGGAGCTCTTGTAGAGCAGGCCTGTTGGTGATGAAATCTTTCAGCATCTGCTTGTCCGTAAAGGATTTTATTTCTCCTTCGCTTATGAAGCTTAGTTTGGCTGGATATGAAATTCTGGGTTGAAAATGCTTTTCTTTTAGAATGCTGAATATTGGCCCCCACTGTCTTCTGGCCTATAGGGTTTCTGCTGAGAGATCTGCTGTGAGTGTGATGGGCTTCCCTTTGTGGGTAACCTGACCTTTCCTCTCTGGCTGCCCTTAGCATTTTTTCCTTCATTTCAACCCTGGTGAATCTGACGATCATGTGCCTTGGAGTTGCTCTTCTCGAGTAATACCTTTGTGGTGTTCTCTGTATTTCCTGTATTTGAATGTTGGCCTGCCTTGCTAGGCTGGGGAAGTTGTCCTGGATAATATCCTGAAGAGTGTTTTCCAGCTTGGTTTTGTTCTCCCCATCACTTTCAGACACACTGATCAAACATAGATTTGGTCTTTTCACAGAATCCCATATTTCTTGCAGGCTTTGTTCATTTCTTTTCACTGTTTTTCTCTAATCTTGCCTTCTCACTTTATTTCATTGAGTTGATCTTCAATCTCTGGTATTCTTTCTTCTGCTTGATCGATTCGGCTATTGAAACTTGTATATGCTTCATGAAGTTCTCGTGCTGTGTTTTTCAGCTCTGTCATGTCGTTTATGTTCTTTTCAATGCTGGTTATTCTCGTTAGCATTTCATCTAACGTTTTGTCAAGATCCTTAGTTTCCTTACATTGGGTGAGAACATCCTCCTTTAGCTCAGAGAAGTTTGTTATTACTCACCTTCTGAAGCCTGCTTCTGTCAGTTCATCACACTCATTCTTTATCCAGTTTAGTTCCCTTGCTGGTGAGGGGTGGTGATCCCTTGGAGGAGAAGAGGCATTCTGGCTTTTGGTGATTTCAGCCTTTTTGTGCTGGATCCTTCCTATCTTTGTGGATTTATCTACCTTTGGTCTTTGAAGTTGGTGACTTTTGGCTGGAGCTTCTGAGTGGACGCCCTTTCTGTTTATGTTGAAGCTATTTCTTTCTGTTTGTTAGTTTTCCTTCTAACAGTCAGGCTCCTCTGCTACAGGTCTGCTGGAGTTTGCTGGAGGTCCACTCCAGACCCTGCTTGCCTGGGAGTCACCAGTGGGGTCTGCAGAACAGCAAAGATTGCTGCCTGTTCTGTCCTCTGGTAGCTTTGTCCCAAAAGGGTACCTGCCTGATGTCAGCCAGAGCTCTCTCGTATGACATGACTCACAGATAGGATACACGGGGGGTCAGGGAGCCACTTGAGGAGGCAGTCTGTCCCTTAACAGAGCTCAAGCACTGTGCTGAAGGATCCATTGCTCCCTTCAGGGCTGCTGGGCAGGGATGTTTAAGTCTGCTGAATTTGAACCCACAACCGTCCCTTTTCCCAGGTGCTCTATCCCAGGAAGCTGGGAGCTTTGTAAGTCCCTGACAATCTGCCCTCTTTTGTTTTTTTCTGAGATGCCCTGCCCAGCAAGAAGGGAATCTGCTTGACAGTCTGCCTGCAGAGAGGCCTTGCTGAGCTGCCATGCTGGGCTCTGCCCAGCTGCTGTGTAAACTTCCTGGTGGCTTTGTTTACACAGCAATGTGGAACCTCTTACTGGAGCGTCAGCAATGGTGGGTGCCCCTCCCCCTACCAAGCTCGAACATCTCAGGTCAAACTCAGACTGCTGTGCTGGCTGCGAGAATTTCAAGCCGGTGGATTTTAGCTTGCTAGTGTTCGTAGGGGTGGGACCTGCTGAGCCAGCTCACTTGGCTCCCTGGTTCAGCACCCTTTTTCAGGGGGAATGAGCAGTTGTCTCTCGTTGGCGTTCCAGGTGCCACTTGACTAAAATGGCTGCCTAGTTTCATGTTGGAAACCTGGGCACTGGCATTGTAGGTGCCAGAGGGAATCTCCTGGTCTGTAGGTTGTATAGACTGTGGGAAAAGTGCAGTATCTGAGCCGGAGTACTGAAGTGTCCAGAAAAGTCCCTAATGGCTTCCCTTGGCTGGGAGAGAGAGTACTCTGGCCCCTTGTGCCTCTCAGGTGAGGCAATGCCCCACCCTGCTTCGGCTTACCCACCTTGGGTTGTTCCTACTGTCTAACCGGTCCCAATGAGATGAACTTGGTATCTCAGTTGGAAATGCACAGATCACTCATCTTCTGTCGCTCTCTCACTGGGAACTGCAGACTGGAGCTGTTCCTATTCATCCATCTTGGAGGACGTCTGGCCTGTTTGACATTTTCTATGTACAGAGCAATATCATCTGTGACTAATGATGGTTTTATTTCTTTCCAAATTTTAAACCTATTATATTTTCCGGATCCTACTCTCACTCACAATGTCCGTGAAGATAAGATGCAAAATGACCAACCGGTACCTGATAACGTCTTGTAAACAGTTCTACCTGGGATTATTAATATGGAAGCTGATGGTATTTCATCCATGAGTTACCAGGTATCTGTGTACATTTGCTTGTAAGTTGGATTGTCCTACTTTGTTTTCATATGTATGCATGGTGTCATCAAGGAAAGAAGGTAGTTTGGTTGTACTTTCTTTTGTGAGCTCAATTTGGGTGATCTCAGATCACCACCTGGCATATCTTCTCCTTATTTATGAAATAATTTCTTAGAAACTGAGCATCAGAGGGACATACCTGTGGGGTTGACATAATGCATGTACCTCACAGCTCAACCTTTTCATTTGATTTTCAGATGCTACAGTCACTCACAATATCTGTGAAGAGAAGATAAATAATGGCCATCCAGCACCTGATAACTTTTTGCCAACCATTACATGAGTGCTTATTAATCTGTCAGGAGCTGGCATTCCGCCCATGAGTACAAGGGATCAGTGTATGTTTCTTTACTCGTTGTTTCTACTTGGTTTCCGTATGCATGCAGTGTCATAAGTTGAAGAAGGTGGTTTTATTGTATTATCTTTTGTGAGCTCAATTTGAGGGGTCTCAGATCGCCACCTGGAATATCCTTCTGCTTTATGAGATAATGTCCTAAAAACTGAGCATGAGAGGCATACATACATGTTATTGACATAATGCACTTACCTCACAGCTTGACTTGTTGTTTTGGTTTCTAGACTCGACCGTCACTCACAATGTCCGTGAAGAGAAGATGGAAGATGGCCAACCAGCACCTAATAACATCTTGTCAGCTATTCTGCCAGGGCTTATTAATATGGCAGGAGCTGGTATTCCAGCCATGAGTGCCAGTGATCTCTGTATGTTCTCTTGTAAGTTGGATTGTCCTCCTTGGTTTCCATATGCATGCATAATGTCATGAAGAGGGGAAAGTGGTTTGTTTTATTATCTTTCGTGAGCTCAATTTAAGGGGTTTCAGGTTGCCACCTGGCATGTCCTCTTGCTTTGTGCTATAATTTCCTAGAAACTCAGCATCAGAGGGATATACCAGTGGGGTTGACATAATGCACTTTCCTCACAATGCAACCTGTTCATTAGATTTGCAGATGCTACCGTCACTCACAATGTCGGCGAAAAGACTTTAAAAACAGCCAGCCAGCACCGGATAACTTGCTGTCCACTGTTACACCAGGGCGTATTAATTTGTCAGGAGCTGGTATTCCGGCCATGAGTCCCAGGGATCTGTGTACATCTGTTTACTAGTTGTACTGTCCTACTTGGTTTCCATATGAATGCATACTGTCATAAGGGGAAGAAGGTGGTTTTGTTATATTGTCTTTCATGAGCTCAATTTGAGGTATCTCAGATCGTCACCTGGCATATCCTCTCCTGCTTTATGAAATAATTTCCTAGAAACATAACATCAGAGAGGTATACCTGCCGGGTTGACATAATGCACTTACCTCACAGCTCAACCTGTTCATTTGGTTTCCAGATGCTACCATCACTCACAATGTCTGTGAAGAGAAGATACAAAAAGTCCAACCAGCACCTCATAACTTCTTGTCCACTGTTGCATCAGGGTGTATTAATATGGCAGGAGCTGGTATTTTCCAGCCATGAGTATCAGGGATCTGTACATGTTTTCTTATAAGTTGTACTGTCCTAGTTGATTTCCATATTCATGCATAGTGTCATCAAGGGAAGAAGGTGGTTTTGTGGTATTATCTTTTCTTGCCTGAATTTCAGGGTTCTCTGATTGCCACCTGGCATATCGTCCTGCTTTACGGGATAATTTTCTAGAAACTGAGCATCAGTGGGGTATACCTGTGGGGTTGTCATTATGCACTTAGCCTCATAGCTCGACCTCTTCATTTTGTTTCCAGACGCCACCAACAATCGTAATCTCCATGAGGAGAAGATGAAAAACCGCCCAGAAGCACCTGATAACTCCTTGTCAGTGGTTCCACCAGGGCGTAGTAATATGTCAGGAGCTTGTACTTCATCCAGGAGTACCAGGGATCTGTGTATGTTTGTGTATTGGTTGTACTGTCCTACCTGGTTTCCGTATGCATGCATAGTGTCCTGCAGGGAAGTAGGTGGTTTTGTTGTATTGCCTTTCTTGAGCTCAGTTTGAGGGGTCTCGGATAGCCACCTGGTTTATTCGCCTGCTTTATGAGGTAACTTCCTAGAAACTGAGCAGCCGAGGGATATACCTGTGGGGGTGACATAATGCACTTACCTCGCAGCTCAGCTTTTACATTTGGTTTCCAAATGCTACTGTCATTAACCATATCAAGGAGGAGGAGTTGGAATATGGCCAAACCCCTCCTGATGGCTTCCTGTCAGATTCTGCTCCACTAGAGAGTATAAATATGACAGGAGAGCATATGCCACCCAAACCATTAGATTCTTTCTCTTATAACTTCATTAGTCTCAGCAAAGATGAGCTGCTTTACAAAATTAATGCAATGAGTTTGTGGTAGGAACCCAAAACAACAATGTCTCTGCAGGTGACTCACCAGTCACAGCAATGTCTTCAATGGAAACTGCCAAATACGCCACAAATATCTCCTGCTATGGCAAAGAAATTTAATGATGATGTAAAATATCAATTAATGAAAGAAGTTCGAAGGTGTGGGCGAAGTAAGTAGTGCAAGAATGTCTATCAATGAAAGCCTGAGAAGTCTCTCATTCTATGATTTAGAACACAATTACGCTGCCTCTTGAGCTCATTGTTTGGCTGAATTGGATCTGTATATAATTTAGCATGGCTTCTCCTTAATTTCACTGAAAATTTCTAATACATCTGCTTAAGTGCTTTTTGTTAATGATAGTTTCCTTAGTAATATACAGAAGCTGTGATTTAAACATGCAAAACACAAACACTATGTAACATTGTAGCCCATTTAAAAATGTATACTGTGTTAGCGGATGCACTAAGGTTGAGGTCTATTTCATTTTTATAATTGTAGAAATAATAATTTTTAAAATATCTTCAGATTATGAAAGAATTTTCATTTTGCTTGAAGAAGAAGTACAAGGATCTATGGAAGTCAAGAAACAACTTGTTAAATTTACCATTAAGGAAGCAGCAAGGTGGGTGCCAAAAGGAAACTCTTCTATTGTTTCAAGCACTTGTGCCCAGTTTGGGACAGGAGCAGGAAGAAATCATGCCTTGTTCTTCCTAATCCCTGGCCCTCAGTCATAGTTCATGCTATTTCCACAGGCATGTAGGTTGATATTGTCTTATTCTAACACTTCCTTCTAATGCCTTGGAGCCTTCCAAATTTATCATAATCTGGGAGTGGGCATGGGCCCTCAGGTGACTCACTTCGTATTTTTCTAGTTTGTATTTTTCCATGAGGATGCATTTTCTATTTGCATGTAGATTGTAAACTCTATTTTCTATCCACTACTACTTCTTACATATCATAGATGCTGTAGGTATCCTCTGGTTAACGGAATACCTCTTTAATTTCGGGTTTAAAAAAGTTGTGTGAATTCAGCCACTCAAGAAGGCGCTTAAAGAAATAGATTCCCACTGCCATCTCAGAAAAGTTAAGCACATGAGGAAAAAATAATTGCATTAGTGCAAAGACCAAGGAGAAACAAGGAGGTATGCTGTAGGGTGGAACAAGTTATTGCTGAAGCTCCCTGTAGTTTGAAGTGAACAGAATTCCCTTCCAGAAGCTAAGAAAAATAAGTGGGAGCTTTTAAAGTTTCATAAATCTCTGATAGTAAAAGCTGTACTTTTGTTGTTTGTTTGTTCATCCACCTGAGGAGGGGGATGAGTTAATAACTCACCAAGGTATTAAGTATAATAGTCCTGGTTTCTTCAGCAGCTCACATTGTTGTAGCCGGTATTTATAACTGTCCCTTTTTCACTGCTCAATTCCCATTCACTTTGCCCTGAGATAGCATGTCAGCTGGTCATGGTGCTTGGCCTGGCAGGATGACTTAAACCTTCATTACTGAACAGTCTGGACCATTAGATACCCTGCCTGGATTGGGTTGCTGTAATTTTCCATTAAGTGTAATCAAAAAACATGGGAGGATGAAGAGACCAAGATGGCCAGCTGGCAGTATGAATCTCTTTTCAGTGGAATCACTGTTGTGTCCCTTGGCACAAGCAATTCTTCCTTTGGAAATAAGACTTCTAGGTCAGCAGTGCCTAAATAGGAAGCATTTTTGCTAGTGGGTCACAGGGGTGAATAGAGAGTAGAGACACTCCCAGTTATACCCCTTGATTCTAGGACCCATGAATCCTGACTGTGGGAGAGAAAGCAAAGTATGTTGGATGCATACATACAGCAGACATGGCTTCCTAAAAGTAATTTGTCAGACCTGCAAGGTACTGCCAACTGGCTAGCACTGTAACAGTTCCACAAGTCCATTCCACTGTCCTGTTGATCCGGTCGCTTTCAGATAATGGCGGAGACTTTGGGAGGCTGAGTTGGTGTTCAAGACCAGCGTGGGAAGCACAGTATCATCTCAAAAAAGAAAAAAAGATCATGGGGGGAGAGGAGAATATAAAAAATAAGACCAGTTATTCCAGTGATTTCCTGTGAAAACGGGCCCATTGCTGCACTAAATTTACTGTGAAGTGACTGCCTTGTTTAGAGGTGATTCTGTGACAAATACCTTGATGGTATATGAGGTATTTTTCCAAGTGCACGAATGTTGATTTTCTCAAAGTACTGTTGGCAGGAAAGAAGATCCATATTCAGAATAACTGTCTTATTTGAGTAAGAACACAGCCCTGTCCCTTCCATAATGGAAATGGTCCAATGTAGGAAGGTCCTACCTGCCATCTGGTCGCTGACTGATCACCCTGGAGACAGGTGCCATATAAGAGGCTCAGTGTTGCTCTGTTTCTGGCAGGTTGTACACTAGCAGTCATACAACAATGGCTGTGTTGTATAATTTTGCTCCTTAGTTCAGCTAAAACTGAGTTCTTTTCACATGACCAGGAAAGATTCGGTTCGCGCACACATTGAAAGGTGTGAGCGGAATTTATTGGGTGAAAAGGAAAAAGACTCTCAGCAAAGTGAGAGGGAGTCCTATTAACAGGCTACCACCTCCCAGATTCATTCGGGGCCACCACATAGTCACCAAAGAGACCAGGCTCCCACCGCTACCCCTGCACAAGGCGCAACCTTCCTGTGGCTCCGCCCTGTTCTCCCAGTGGAAGTGTGGGCATTCTTAAGAAATAATCAGTTGGGAAAGGGTGAACAAGCAGTGCCAGTTCTTCCTCTCAGTCGCGGGTTTCATTTGGGACGGGCAGTCCGATTTTTCAACCTTCGGGCCACTTTGGGCTTGATGGCGGGATTTCACTAGGGACCCTTGGCTGTTTCATGTCTCTATCAACTGTAGACAGGTTGGCCTTGGTGAGTGGAAGTCGGTGCTACTGAAGCATAATCTCTATGCCTGTCACCTGGACCACTCTGTGAGCCTGTGTGGTTATGACACAAGTGTTAGAGAAAGAGGCTAATTAATATCTCGATAATAGGTATCTTATCCATCAGATTATTGCAATTCTGCTCTGCTGAGGTTACCCTTTGGTGAGAACTCTCATGAGACTCAAATATCTTCACATTGAATGTCCACTCTGACAGGTCTGTCCACATATTTTTCCCCAGACCTCCTTGTCACAGATTTTCAATCATGTGTCCTCAAAGTCCCTAATCATTCGGCCAATAAATGAGACACAGCCTGTACAAGGATACACACTTAAAAGTCTGGCCATCTCTCCTCCACACAGGAGCACCGCTCAAAGTTCTTTCCTCTGGGAGGATTTCCCTTCTCTACTGTCCTTCAGGGCTATCCCAGTTGGTCCTGTCGTAATGCTGCTGCCCACTTCTGTCTTGCGTGGTTGGCAGGCATTATGAACGGACTGAATATGTGTGACCTCTGAGAATTCATACGATGAAACCCTAAATCCCAATGGGATGATATTTGGAGGTAGACTGTTTGGGAGGTCATTAGGTTTAGATGTGGTCATGATGGTTGGGTCCCTATGATGAGATTAACGCCCTTCTAATTAGAGAAAAGAGAATTTGTTCTTCCATGCCTCTTCAAAATGTAAGGATATAGCAAAGTGGCTGACTACAAGCCAGGAAGAGGACCCCCACCAGAATTTGAGCACGCTGGCATCCTGATCTTGGACTTCTAACCTCCAGAACTATGAGAAAGAAATGCCTGGTGATGAAGCCACCCAGTCTGTGGTATTCTGTGATAGAAGCTGGAGCTGACTGAGACAGCTGTAGTCTGATTCCCCAGATTCCCATCTCCTGAATACTCCATCAAGCACTAATCCTAATACTGCTATGGTGGGATTTTGCTGGAGAATTAAGGTCTCAAGTCAGTTAACAATGAGACATGAGTGTGGTGTGGCTGGGCCAGACCTGGCAGCGGAATCCTTGAAAAGCGGAGCATTTTCCTCAAGCAGGAGCAGAAGAAGAGCTAAGAGAGTCAAAGCACAAGAAGGATGTGACACAGCAGGCCCTCTTTGAGGATAAAGCAGTGCTCCCGAGAAGGTATAGGTGGCTCTAAGCGTTTAAAGCAGTCCCTGGATGACAGCCAACCAAAACATGGGAACCACACTCCTACCACCTTAAGGAACTAGATCTAAATGAGCAATAACCTGAATAAGCTCAGAAGTGGATTATTCCACAGACTCCACATAAGCACCCAGCCGGCCCATTTAGAGTTGGCCTTGGGAGAGACTCAGCAGAGAGACCGGTTGAGCCTTCCTGGTCTTGACTTGCAGATCTGTGGATAATACACGTGTGTTATTTTAGGCCGTTTAACGTTATTCTAAAGCTGTTTCCTGCTGAGTGGGGCATTCTCCCTGCCTAGCCTGGGCCCTAACGTCTCTTCCTGCCTGATCCTACGGGGTGGGAACCACATGTTTCACTGGACTGGTGGGGAAGACATGAGATAGCTCATTAGCAACCCAAGGTTGAAAGCCTTGCAAAACCATCATATGGACCTGGAGAAGCTGTAAGCAAGAGAGTAAGAAATCAGCGTTTTAAACACACTGGGACCAAAAGTCAAAGCTAAAAGTATGTTAACGACTGGCAGTGTTAAAGGGAGCAGAGCAGACAATAGCTAATGCTTCCAGTTCCCATGGAAGTTCCTAAAGTGTTCATTTCGTTTGCCTGGCTGATGACATTTCTGATACTTTCCTGGGCTAAACCAGACTGATGTAAAAAGAGCATTCATCTTTCACATGCAAACGTGTGTCTTTGACCAGCTGTGAGAAGACTGATGGCTTTTCGGTTTTGTCAGAGTATAATGGCTCGGGAGTCCAGCTGCTGTTGAAGTGTAGGGAGGCCCTCTGCCGTTCGTGGGAGGGCCACCGTCATCTCCTCAAACGGGTTATGCTGGATGTTGAGGCTCTACCTCCCGTAGCTGACCATGATAATCCCCATAGAGAGGGCAGTAGTAAACTTAAGGGAATACAGGGTCTTGCTGGGAGCTGAATCTTGCTATGCTGGTACATGGGGAAAGGGAGAGACGTGTCAGCCCATGTGAAAGTTAGATAAGGGAAACGTAAGTGATAGAGCATCGCCCCTTCCACAGTGGGTAATTGTAGATATGCTGAAGATCCTCACACCCCCAAAATTTGTTTGATGCTGAAA